ACTGTGGACCTCCAGGATGGCACAGCAGCTGGGCCAAAGCAGCCTGCACCTTGGAGTATGAGCCAGACAATGTACAACACCTCTCAGTAGCAGTCTGGTTTATCTGGACATCCTGATGACTTTTACAAAGGTTTTCCAGTGCATTGATTCCCCCAGGAAGCCGGCTGTAGTCAACCATTGCGGTTAAACTTAGGACGACCTAAAACGTAAAAAACAATGACAATCAAATCCCAGGGTCCTAACTAAATTTCCCAACATGTGCATGATTTTGATCTGTTTTACCTGGTCTGCGTCCAAGCTGTCAGGATGCTCTGAAGCATTAAGTTCATATTTCCTCCCATCTATTTCCAGAACGTGTCGGTAGTCTTGAACAATTCTCTGTGCCACTGTGTAAGAGGGGTCATTGGGGAGAAATCAATCAGAGTCTGAAAAGCTTCCAGAGTAAGCATTTCTGCCTTTGGCTGCATCCGACTCGCATACAGGCATCTCAGCTCAGTGTAAATCACTGCTGACAGCAGAGATACTATCAATATCAATGCCATGTAAATGAGAGCACCTTTTCATCATGCTTAGTAACTTGTTTTATGCATCATAAAAAAGCATAAAATGGCAAGTTCTTTACTATATTGTACAATAGATTAAATCTAACCTTAAACATGCAACAGATTTCTTTCTGTTAATCTTTATGAAACAAAGATGTCTGCTAAGTAGAAAATCTGTAGGTGGATAACATATAAATACAACAGCAGTTCAAAAGATTTCTGCATCTCTGTAAGCAGCAGCAATCGGAAATATTTATATTCTATCAGACTTTATCAGTTTCTAACATCAATAGAGGATTTAATTAATGGACAACCTTTTCTGCACTGCTCTCTTGAGATCCCATTACAATATTTCAATCATGATGATATCTGGACTTTGCTAAACAGATTTTCAGTCTTTCTGTTTTAGCCATGCTGCAGTGTTTGGGATTATTTTATTTTATTTTTTTTACTTTCACAGCCTTTTCTTCAACCTTAGCTTTGGGACAGATGGCCTCAAACTTCAAGCAACAATGTCAGATCAAATACTACAAGGCTTAAAGGTGCCTTGGCTGTAAAATTGACCCAAATGATCAACTCCCCACAACTGTGCTAGATAGGGCCAGCCCAAGGCATAAGCAAACTAAGCTGCTGCTTGGGGCCCTCAGGCAACTAAGGGATCCCCCAAGAGCATATTATTATTTTATTTTATTTATTTATTTGCATGTCTACAGATTTTTAGATTATTTAGAACATATACGTCTTTGATTTTGTAAAAGTAACATAATGAGGTCAAATGTAAAGAGTTCATTTATTTAGAAGATTTATTTCATATATTTTGACAGACTTACCTCATTTTAAGGACAAATGACTCGACTTTTAACCCTTTTTACCTACTATAAGGTCACTTTTTATTTACATAACTAAGTATGTGCTTGATATTTCTCCTTTTTTTGTCTTTGTTATTTTATTTGTGGTTTGCCATTGTTCTTGCAACACAGATCACTTTTACACATTGTTGCTTCTTAGAAACAAAAATTAGAAGCTAAATGATAATTTTACTGTGAATACGTACTATGTCATTTTATTACTGTTGGTAATGTATACATTTAAGAGTGTAAATATATACGAACAACAACAATGGAAAAATATATCGCTTAGGGTTCCATGGATGCTTGGGCCAGCTCTGGTGCTAGACATAATTTATGACATATTTATGCATCAAACATCTCCATTTTGGCTAAACTAGTCCAATGAACTGTTCAAGAAGTCTTAAAGGGTTAATTGCATGCAACTTTAGAAATCTAAATTCTTATTAAGGAATTCTAAGTGATGCGTCTATGGTGATTGATGGAGCTACAGGTGTTTACCAGTTTACTACTGTAGGCACTTAAAAACTGACTTTGGAGCAAGTTTGCAGGAATGAACTTGTGATTATTTAGATAAGGCATTAAAATCCTTGCCAGATTGGTAAACAGTTATAAGTGATGTTGGTGAAGGTTCCCAGTCATCCAGGTCATAGTCATTCCAAAAAAAATTAAAAACAATCCATTGGACTTGGTTTCCAAGTTTCGCTTTCCATCCAGGAAGCTTTCTCAATTAAAAATGTCAGAAATAGAAGCCAAACGACCCCTATTTCAAATGGGTGGAGCCCTTCGTCTGTTCCAGTTTGCATGTTTTCAAAACAAAAACAAGCCTTGATTGGGCTACTGTATAAAACCTCGAACTCAACGCTATTCCTGACATTTTGAATTGAAAACGCTTCCTGGATGGGAAGCGAAACGTCTTCAAACTCGGAAACCAACTCCAGTGGATTGTTTTTATTTTTTTTTTGGAAGAGTTATAAGTGATCTTAGGAAATTATCTAAAGGCATTGTGTTGACACACACCTTTAAACCCAGACCAACAAAGGAGCAGAATTACCAAAAAAAAAAAAACAATGAATCCTTGCTTAATGGATCTTTCTTTCTTAAAGCATGTAGAAGCAGCTATGTGTATATTTATGTTATACACTGGTTATCTTTCTGTTTATTAAAGAAAACACTTCAACCCAACTGACCCGCGCTGTCCTCGAAGATGATCAGAGCACATAAAGGCCTTGGCTTCAAAAGTGCGACATGGTCTATTTCCCCTCCTCCATTCCTGGATCTGAGAAAGTGAATGAGTAACTTGTCTTTTAGCCTCTCATCTTCAATGTCAGTGGGGAGCCCACTCACTTTCACAGTCCTGCCCGCCTCTGCCATCTGCTGGAAGAAACACAATCAGTGCTGAATGGGACAAAGTTTCCTAATCATGAGACAGACAAGGAAAGCAATAAAAAAAAGACATGTCCTTGTAAGGATTGATCATGATTATCAGGCTAATGATGAGAAACCAGGTAAGTTTTATGCCTCTGTTAATCATTGAGACATCTATGAATCCCACACTGACATACTGGAAGACATGTCAGATATTATATCGCCCTCTGCTGGGCTTATTAAGGAATTACATCAATATGCAAAAAATATATCTCAAACAATTTCATTATATGTGTAAAAAATAAAAAAAACACAGCACGCAAATTTCACATTGGAGAGTATCTAATCGTTTGTATGTTTAAGAAGAGATGAATAAATTATACGGTTTTTATATGGTAGTTTATAGTCTACTGAGTTATATTAAGAAAAAAACTATATTTTGATTAAAATTCAGGATATTTGCTTTGAAAAAGAAACAAAGGTGTGATCCTTTTGCAACACTCCTCTTGTTTAACACCGAGTTAAGTTTTAAAAATAAGAAATTACAAAGTCACCCCCCTCCACCTATTCCCTAGCGATTGTCAACTAGTTTGCAGCTCTTTTATTAAATAGAACACCCCTTTGTTACATCTAATGGTGATTTCCGCACATGCAATCGCACTACTTCCACAACCTTATTTTGTTTCTGATATTTTTCTCTCGAATCGGTTTGCTGAAATCAGTAAGAGGCGCGTAATTACCCCACAGCACGAAGACAGGCCACAATTCAGAGGAGAGAATCAAGGAAGTAAATAAATCAGGCAGATCTGGGCTGATTCAGATCAACAGAAACGATCAGATTAATCGGTGATCCCCTGAAGATGTAAACATTACTGACCTTTCATTTGTTTTACGCTGATTTCGCTTTCTTGACAACTTTCAAAGATCGCGAATCTTTACAGGCTTTTGAGGAAAAGTGAAACCAACATGTTTTTTTTTATTTTGTTTCTTCCCGCTAGGGGGCGGGATAATTCGGCCGCACCGTGTGATCCATGCAGGGCCATCCATAGCATGTTTGGAAACATGCAGAACCGAAACATTATGTGCAAGTTCTTCGACTGATTACAGTTTTCTGAAATAAAGAAAATTATTAAAATAAGTCAAGATAAGCAACGATCTGAAGCAAAAAGTATGAACCCTGACCACAATTATGGTTAATAAGTATGGTAATAAAAACGTGCATAGTGTGTGTTCCCCCCCCCCTAGTTTTCTTTAACAGTTCAGTTTTTGCTCTTAGAACCCTATACAAAATGTAAATTTATAAATAGATATCATAGATCCTTCCTCCCAGCAGCTGTAAGACTTTATGACTATCACTGGTCCCAAAAACATCAAAAAGTAGCTACATTAATGCTGATTTTTGCACCGTTTCTGTCTCAGTCAGTTTAAATAACATGCTGCTGTCATTTTTTTCACATCTCTGGTTGCTATTTTTACATATCTATTACTATAAAAATGTCCATAGCTGTATATTGATTATTTGTTCTCCAGATACAGAGTATTTATATTGTAAAAACACTGTACAGCCCAATACTTTGTTTGTTTATTTTCTTATCTGTTCTTTTTATAAACTTCTGCCATAACATTTTGCTGCTGTAAAACCACAATTTCCCCATTGTGGGAGAATGAAGGGATTTTCTATTCTATTCTATTCTATTCTATTCTACTCTATTCTATTCTATTCTATTCTATTCTAATTCAACTAAGAGTTAGGTATTCTTGTCTAAAGGAATCATTATTTTATATTTTACCCCAAATATTTATTTCTATAATTTTAGTGACTAAACCAATGAGGAAACAGGGATAGACTGTTTACATTTTTTAGGAGCAGGTTGATAAAGCCATGATGATTAAGAAGTCCAATTTTTGGAACATTCAGCAAGTAAAAACAGTTTCCTGTCACATTCAATCAAAGCTCATCTCTAAAGCTCATTTAACGTAAAAAGGTTGATTTTTTTGTTTGTTTTGTTTTTTTGTATCAATTTAATTTCATTTTGAAAAAGCTTGAGCTTTTTATAAGATGAAAATGCTCATTAAAAAAAGATTTCTCATTTAATACTATTTTATTTTTCAGATTGGCCATAGGTGGCGGTGTTACAATATACTTTCCTGCATTAACCTTTTTCCAACGAAGTAGAGAATCTGGGTCCTGTCCAATCAGATTAGGTTGTAGGCTCTGACGCGCTGTGCGCATGCGCAGAAAGTCAAATATTTCATGTGTTGTACGTCGTGTCCGGTGGAGGTCACAGTAGTTGGTGCAAGCTGAGGTGAGTTATGACATTTATTGTGATAGAGACGTTGACAAGCCATTAGATGAAACATTCATAAAGTAGCAATCGTTACTCTAAAGGGTAAGGGTTATTTTTCTTCCACTACCTGCATTTTATAACGAACGCCTGGACCAGTCGGATGGTTGAGTAAGACGAGCACGAGTTTCCCCTGACTATTTTCATCAGTGGAAGCTAAACTGCTAGCTGTTACCATTTAAGCCACTCACTGGTCGATTTGAAACGCATCATACGCACAATCCTACGTTTATTACTACTGCTGGGGTGTTCAGAATTTCCTCGTTATCTTAATACACCGACAACCGCTAAGCTAAAGATAAGCTAAAGCTAGATTAGCTTTACCTTTAGTGAAGCTAAGTTAGCTTTACCCCACATCCTCGGTTGTCACCGATCAAGGCCACTGTCTGTTTGTTCTGCTTAGAAGGGATTAAAGGTGGCTTTTAAGGATTTCAACAAATGCTTAATGGGTTTACAATGCCTGCCGTATTAGTGAAGTAGCTGTTGTTTCCCCATGCAGGTTTCTGCTGTCATGGCCAAACTGTTTGAGTCCATTGGGAAGCTGGGGCTTGCCCTCGCCATCGGCGGAGGTGTTGTGAACTCCGCCCTCTTTAACGGTAAGTGTTGCTAATATCAAGGTAGATAGAATATGGCCTATTTAGCAACCCCTTTGCTAACAGTGTACCCTTATTTAATTGGCACTTTCCATTTTGCACCCATATTTATAATTCTTTAGTTAATATCTCTATGATATTTTTGAAGAACTGATGATTAATACATTTATTTATATTCCACCAGCTGAAAAGGTTGTTGTTCTCATAGACTTTATTATTTCGGCTTCTTCAGAAAATAAACACCTAATTCTATATAGCAAGGGTAACCAATGAAAAATCAGCGGGGTCCAAAAAAAGAAAATAAACAACCAGTAAAGGTCCGGCGACATTTTTAATTATAATCCATTACTTCAAACAGCATTTCACACTGAAATAAAATTAGGTTTTTGTGCATCCTTGTTATACACGGAATTTTTAAAATAAAAAAAAAAAATGTTAACATTTGTTTCTACGTTAGAAAATAAGATTTGTTCAGTTTGCTATATAGACAATTTCCTGATTCACATATTTTATAAAACACCTGAAGTGACCTTTATTTATTATTTTCTTTTTTATGGCTTAATGAGAGCAGTGGGCTTTAAGCTGCCCTGCAAGGCTTTAAACCTAGCTTTGAATGGTGACAAAGCCATTCTCAAGCACATATCAAGGTACTCATTCGTGAGCCTGGATCGATATTCATTTTTGTTTATGTTCATGGTGAAGAAAGCTGCTTCACAGCAGTGGGTTGAGCCTAGCATACTCCAAATACCTAGGGTCATCTTTGGGAACGCCATTTTGCTTTTCACTAGTTCACTGCGCTTCTTCCAGCAGTTTTCTTTTTCTCATTGCCCGGCTTGCCACAGTTTTGCCTGCTGTGTCTAAAAGTGGCTCGCCTCAGTGGTCCCAAAAGCTCTGGAGGGCCTTATCATATTAAAAGGAGAAGCGCCACAGGTGAAGCCAAGACACTGTCGTCAGACAACATACGGTAGTTTATAAATGTTTTAAATAAAGTTGTGTCCCGTTTAGCCAGCAGGTGGATCCGGACTGCGGTCCGATAATCTGTGACCTCTGCTTTACAGCAAAGTGCCTATCGGATAATAACTGAACCTTTTGCTGATGAGCTCTTCGGTTGTAACACTAGAATATATTGTATTATCAGGTTGAATACTTGTCCTGTCTGCTCCTGTAGCTACTTTGCAGTTAGCGTCACTAAAGTTGTGACACATATCCCTCCTGATATTTTATTAAACAGTGGTGCAGTAGAAAGTGTTAGTGGATGAGTGACTGATACCTCAATGAGACTGTATTTAGCAACAGGTCGGGTAGGGGCAGGTCAGGCATGCATTGCTCTATAACACAGCAAGGGAACGTTCAGGTAGCTTTAGCTTTTTGTCTGACATCCAGTCTTTAAATCACAGGATCAATATCATGGAACATGAACAGTTTTTAGCTTTAACTGGTTAAATCCTCTTTATTGATGCTGGTTAAAAGTTCATTATTAATGGACTTTTTGTTTGTTTTTTTAATTACTTAACCAAATCCAAATTGCCAAATTTGTAGTTGCTAAACCACACGAGACGATAAAAAAAAGTAAAAAAAATCTCCTTTCAAAGCTGTTAGGAATCACCCCCTTATAAGAAATAAGTTAAGTGTTGACTAGTTATTGGAGTTGCTGCCATTTTAATTTTACATGAGATCAGTGCTTTAATAGTTATGTGCTGAAGAAACAAACTGCATAAGGAGCATTTAAAGACAAACTGGAAGCAACTATATATTGATTTATTGGATTTATAATTAAATCAAGTGATCTAAAAAAGAAAGGTGAGATCTTTAATCTGCAAATGAACAGTTACATTTGAACAAGACACCTTATTTGTGGATTAGTCATTTGTAACTATATTTGTTTTTTTTATAGTTGATGCAGGGCACCGGGCCGTAATATTTGACCGATTCCGAGGTGTGCAGGAAGCAGTTGTTGGTGAAGGCACCCACTTCCTCATTCCTTGGGTTCAGAAGCCCATCATCTTTGATTGTCGATCCCGCCCACGCAATGTGCCTGTCATCACTGGCAGCAAAGGTGAGTCAAATTAAAGTCCTTAAATGTATCAGTGTAGTACTTTTTAAACATAAATTCTAGGTACTTAAATCAATGTGGTTTATTGGACAGATTAGAAAGACATGTGTAACCAAGTCATAGTAATTATACAGATAGAATCACATTAAACATTTATGATCCAATGCAACCAAGCTAAGCTTCTAATGGTAATTAGTCAAACTAATCGAAGTTTGCGGCAAAGGACCACAGGTTGGATTCCACCCCGAATCTGCCGCGATGAGGACCAAGGCCTCCGTACATGGGTTGTGCTCTCTAACCGCTGTACACCCCTGTAAGGACACTTTAGCCAAAGGAAAATCTGTCAGAGATCATCATAGGGAGCTCATGCCATTTGTATTCCACATTTCCTTGCGTGACAGATTAAACAAGTACAGATCATCTCATGGACAGTAACTAAATAAAAGATTGCTTCACAAGCTTTTTGTGAGACGTGCAAATGTCCCATCTTGATAGGTTTTAACTTCTGCTATGAAGAGTTTGTCGATCCCTACATTTGTGTAACTTGTTTTAAGTTCTTCTTAGAAAGGCCCATTGTCCAGATTTGCCTAGAAGAATCCATGGGCTTTTGCATTGCATATTGACATCTGGAAGGACGAAGGTTACCCAGATTTCGGAGCAGCAATCCAATTTTCCTTTTCCTCCCATGATAAAATTCTTATTGTTGACCTAATGAAAGATGAAAGAACAGGAGCTAGGGACTGAGGTTTGATGCTTCTCTGATCACAGGTGGTTGAGAAGACACACCAACTAAAAATGCTGTTCTGTGATCTAACATGGATGAAAACAGGCAGGCTGTATGAAGTGCAGCTGTTAAGACTATAGAATTGAATCACTGATACAGTTATCCTTATCCCCAAGGATATAGCTATTACATTAATCATGCTCAATCTTGCTCTGCAGATCTGCAGAATGTTAACATCACACTGCGTATCCTCTTCCGTCCCGTGACAAACCAGCTGCCTCGAATCTTCACTAGTATTGGTGAGGATTACGATGAGAGGGTGCTGCCTTCCATCACCACAGAGGTCTTAAAGGCTGTTGTGGTGCGTATCAGAAAGCAAGAACCATTTTTTTCCATTGTCTAATGGGGGACTTAAACTAATCAGACATTTTTTTCCTTTCAGGCTCGATTTGATGCAGGGGAGCTCATCACGCAGAGAGAGCTCGTGTCTCGGCAGGTCAGCGAGGATCTTACAGAAAGAGCTTCCACCTTCGGGCTCATCTTGGATGACGTATCACTGGTATGAAGCTGCTCGTAAAATGAACAACAATGTCAATTGTTTTTCTGTTTAACTTGAATTAATTCACTGTCATCTTTCTAGACACACTTGACCTTTGGTAAGGAGTTCACAGAGGCTGTTGAGATGAAGCAGGTGGCCCAGCAGGAGGCTGAGCGGGCCCGTTTTGTTGTAGAAAAGGTAATAATTCAAACGACCGTTAAGTCAACCTTTAGTGTCAATTCTGCTTATGTTAACCTGGCAGTCTAAGCCCATGTTGTTTCTGTGTGTTTTATCAGGCTGAGCAACAGAAACAGGCTGCCATCATTTCAGCAGAGGGAGATTCTCAGGCTGCCTTGCTCATTGCCGACTCTCTGATGGTGGCCGGTGACGGTTTGGTGGAGCTTCGTAAACTGGAGGCTGCAGAAGAGATCGCCCTCCAGCTCTCACGCTCCCGCAATGTCACTTACCTGCCATCAGGACAGGGCACGTTGCTGCAGCTGCCCCAGTGATGGCTTCCTTACCCACTTTAACCAGCTGCGACATGGGCCATGGAGGGGGTAGCTTGATGATTCACCAGATGATTCTTGCATCTTCACATACATTCCTCCCACTCTTTCTCAAACTACCACTGGACTGGGCTCTGCTGTTTGCAGCATGGTGGGGGATAGAGTGAGAGGTCTGTGAATACATGTATGAAGTCCACTTTTGTGTCTGGAAGTTAATGAGAGAATTTCTCCATATTTGATTAACTAAACATACAATAGTACTTTGAGAAAGATCAAGAATGCAGTTTATTCAAAGTGCATCTGCTTCAATGGGAGCATTGCATGTGTGGAAAGCATCAACTGATATTGTGTTGAAAAGATTTGCTAAACAATTCTTCTGGCTGTTTTCTCTCCCTTTCATTTATATATATATTGCCATCTTGTATAAATTAGGATGTGCCTATCTAAAAGCTAAAGTGTAGTTTCTGTTGGAATTGTAAGTAAGCCCCATGACTTAGAAATGGATTAAGTTAATAAAGAAGTCTTTCTACCTCCCAGTGGTCATTGTATTCAGTGGCGAAGTGACTGCAGTATTCAATCTTTTCATAAAGAACTTAAATTAATCTGATTATATTACTGTATTGGGTAGAAATTAAATGTAGGTCTTCACCCTACTTTGAAAAATAGTCACAACTGTGTTATTTAATTAAGATGCATTATATTTAGTCGGGCTGCTCAGTGGCACAGTGGGTAGCACTGCTGCATTGCAGCAAGAAGGTTCTGGTTTCGTTTCCAGGCCTGCATGGACTTTGTGTATTCTCCCTGAGCTTGCATGGTCCTCTCTGGGTACTCTGGCTTCCTCCCACAGTTAAAAAATGAGACTGTTAAGTTAATTGGCTTCTCTAAATTTTCCTTAGGTATGAATGTTTGCGTGAATGGTTGTTTGTCTCTGTGTTTCCCTCCAATGGACTAGCGACCTGTCCAGGGTGTACCCTGCCTCTCACACATTGACAGATGGAGACAGGCACCATCACCCCTCGTGACCCCTACTGGGATCAAGCGTGATGGAAAATGGATGGAAATATATTTAGTCTTCTCTAGCTGGAAATTTGCAATCTAAGCCTCCAACTGTGGTCCATTTCAAAGGAAGGCACCCGTAAACTAGGATTATGCTGTGTGCAGTTTTCTTCTTAGTTATATTTCACAATACATTGAATTTTGACCCCCATAGGCTCATTCTTAAGTCATGCTATTAGAACTGGGTGAATAAACCATGTTATTCCATGGTATTACCCTGCCTCATTGTGTGTGTGGATCATACAATAGCAATAAAACTGAGATTGTTACAATGGAACTATGTATGCAAGTTAAACATCTGAAGAACCAAGTATCAAGTCAAGGTTTCTAGT